TAATGATCATCTGGGTGTTATTGCTGGGATGCTGTAGAGTAGGGGTAATAAAGGGATGCGATAGGCATTCTAACCCGGATTCCCGATGGGATTTGACAAATAAAGCCGGCCATTCCTATCCTGGGGATTATGAGGAACTGTTGAGAGGGTACGTTTGTGAATCCCTTCACGGCCGGGATACGGATGAGAGTGTTGGGTGCCTCTCAGTGGATTTTTTGGGGTTTGCAAGATGTTGTAGGGGTGAGGAAGGAAAATAGAATATAGATGAAACAAAAGTGTACCATGTGGGGTTAGGGTCTGCAAGTTTGCGGTTTTATGAGAGTTCAGGATCAGAGTTCAGGGCTAAGCTAGGGGGCTGAATAGACCCCGCCAATTCTACAGTGCTTTCTCTGAAGACCATGGAAGGAACTGACAGTTCTGAAAAACGTGCATGCGGCTACTTGTTGCATCAAACCTGACAGTTCGACGTACTTTATGCCTCCCAGAGAGCCCTTTGGCGAACAGATTTCCCAGGGATGGAATGAATTGAGCGCACTACAAAAGGGTAGCCTCAGGAACTCGTAAGGTCCAACAGTTAATAGCCCATCCTGACCTGGAAAAAAGCCGTGCGTGTCTTTCATCCGAATGTTCCTGTGACACTTTCGAAATCTGGACTGCCCCTCTTCACGCCCTTTCAAGGTTGAGGTAACCTTGTAGTTCCTGTACAGACATGAGCATTCCTCTATCTGGATCACTTAAAACAAGCCCTGCCGAAGTTGGAGTCGCTTACCACCAGACTGATCCTACCCCCTCTCTCAAACAATGGTCAGCACAACGCCCTTGCACCAACCAGATTTCGAAAGCAGCAACTTTAACAAAACGCGGAAACCGATCCGTAAACTCCAAGTCCATCCCTCTGACGGCCCGGCCCTGGATACCCAGAAGGAAAGACGTTCTGTTGGAGGTAATGGCCTGACAGCTTTGAATCTTCTTTTTATGCTTTCTCTCTTCGGAATTGTGGTCAGGACTTGTGGGAGGGCTTTCGCAGCGACTGTGAACGCTGTCAGCACGTAGGAGTCTGTCAAATTCATTCGATAGAATCCTGAGTACGGACTCCAACAGTCCCTGTCTATACACCATTTCTACCAGCTGTCGCCCTGTGCAGCCCATGTTTAGACATGGAAGGCGTAGTTGCCTCTGAAGCTCTTCCGTGTCCGATGTGCTGGTTCCTTACCACTATCCTAGCTATCACTTTTTGCGCTCAGAGCGTGTGTGAGATTTATTGCCTTACGGAGGTGCAGGCTTTAGCGTAGCTTATGCCTAAATCTTCTAAATCCTGCAGCTCATGATTGGGACAGTTTTCTTGGTACGGGTCAGGGTGCCCAGCTTTGGCAGCTGTCAAGCTGATGTCGTACGTAGAATCCTATTGCAGGACTTGAAATCTGAGCTTTTCTCCCTAACAGATTATTCAACGATGTTTTCTTATGTAGCTATGTCTCATACCCCTGTTCAGACCTCAGAGATTTGACTGCAGTGTTCCAAGGATCGAATCTTTCCATGGGCCACAGAACAAACTTAAATCTCAACCAATCTTCCTTGCACCGCACGAAGCATGGGGATCCGAAGTGTATTCCTTGGTTCAGGACCTGTCAAGGCATCCGAGACAGTGAGGGGTCGCCTCACATACCTAACCCTGTACAAGTGTTCCCTGTTGTACACGGGGCCGAACACACCAAAGCGTTGCTATGGATTATGGGGATTATCAGGCTTCATTGAGCCTTGTTAGTTTGGGGACTGCATATTGGGGAGGCCCATGGTAGTCCCATGAAATACAATTCCCAGTTCCAGAACCCCTTAGGCGCCTGTGAGCTTCCAGTTCCGGAGCAGGCTCCTGCCTGCACCCACATGAAGGCTGTTCAGGAGTTTGTGGCCATATGGGGTATATGTATCGGGACTATATGAGGGAACATGTTTTGGCATGGTCTTTACTTCTACTAGTGGATGCATAAAGTAGCCCATATGATGCTCATGTTCATTCCTTTAGCCTTTAGCTCATTGCTCCGTTCCCAACGCAGCATGAAGATCCTTCAGAAATTCTGTTCGTGCAGCACCGTGTCTTGTTTGGACTTGCCTTTCTCGTGAGGCCTCAGGAAGGGGTTTCCTGAGGCCTGCGCCAAAAAGTTGTTACGCTTTGTGCATGCAGGTTCCACACACTAAGACCTGGCCCGTCTCAGAAGAAGTAACGAGGAAGTCTTGCTTTCTCTTCCATATCCGACTGGATTGAAAGTTTCTCCAAGCACCTACGATTCTCAAACGGGACTCCCTTATCCTCAGAAATGTATGCCTGAACGTCTAGGGTCTCTTAGGGCACCCTATTTTGAGAGCCCCACATTTCTTCATGGCAGCTCTGGATTTCGGAGTTCAAGTCTGTCTGCAACTGATGAGATCAAGTCTCAACCTGCGCCTGAGACTAGAGGTTCAATTTTCCGGGATTCTCCACCCTAAACCCTAAACGTTTACGGGCATGCGGAATAGGTTTAAGATCTTAGAATTCCCGAGTGGCAGCTGCGTAGGACTTTAGACGTTACAAGGGCTCAGCAAAATGTTGGTATTCAAGCACCCTTGCAAGGATTCCGGCTTGAACTCTCTTGCATCCCCTGCCACTTCTGCCTGAAGCTCTCTACAAGACATTAGGGCATATCCACACAGTATCTGAACCCACACCCCTAGGTTCTAAATTGATTTCTCTTGATGTCTGTATGAAGCATGGAAAAGAAGAACGCTACACGTGCACCTGCTTGCAGACCCTTGGGGGTTTAAGACCTTATACTTTTTGCAATTCCCTCAGTGATGTAAAAGCGCACACAGGTGTTCTTAGGAACACAGGCATGCGTGACATAGCGGTATGGAATTCCAGAGCTTTGCGATAGAACCCCCAAACCATTAACATTTCCAACTGCCGTTCTCTGCTGAGTAAGTCTATCAGCTGAACCATCACTGGCTTTTCAAGGATGCAAATTTAGGACAGCTTCACGATGCATGGGACCCCTTGCATGTTCTCATCCATGCCTCCTTGTCAATGTAATTCCACTCCGGGTTGGAGCCTCAGTCGCCAAGCAGGGAGAATCAGCAAACAGAAAGAGAGAGATGAGCAAGCTAGAAGTTGTTGCCGTCAACGAAGGCAGAAGACCTCCATGACTCACGCTGAGAACGAGAAAGCCTAGGATATGGGAGAGCTCTTCCATGCGAGGCAATGCCAAATCGAGCTTCTTGCTAAAGCTACGTGTGCCAAAGCAAACTTTTGATAAAGCTACTGGCTTCTCAAGAATGTAGCTTTACCATTGCGCGTCTAGCGCGATGTCTCAGAAACCACTATAGTCGCCCTTTTGCAGACCAACGTCAGGGCAGCTTTCAAGATGAGACCAACCAAACAAAGAGGACCCAAACCTGGTTCACTATTGGAAATATATTGAACATTGATATTTCATGTCCTTGGGTTTGAGCATAGCAGATAAGTTGTATCCAACCATGACGAAGAAACAGGGCATATCTTTCGGTGGGGCGCGTGTGGTTCTTGGGAGGAGAGTTAGCGTAAAGCTGTATACAAACGACTGTTCTCCATTTTTCCAAAAACAAGCTCTGCACGTACCAGTCTTGTACTCTCAGGAGGAAGTAGGGAATACGTGATGTCAAGGGGAACTTTAATATAGACCATCATTTCCATATACTATAATCCTCATTTTTTAAGGATCCCAAGAAAGGTACACGTCAAGACGTTGTGACGTTAGGCCCAGACAGCCGGTGAAGACCGCAATGTACTTGCCCATGAGGAGCTGGAAGGACAAACAGATTTGGACCATTTTCTAGAGGGTCATTGTAGGGATGATATTGGGCTTCATAGGACGATTTTAAAAAATGTTTGGGAGATGTATCAAGAATTCTGTCTATGGCTCCTTTGTCATGTAGGTTCTCAAGGTTGTGGGTTCAAAGCATTGCACTTAATGCCGGGGTGACTTGAATCGACATAGCCTCTATCTAGCAAGCATCAGGACTTGGGATTCTTCTCGTGCATGTTTTGAACTAAGAGCAAGATGGTAGAATGCTGACTTCTGTTCGTGAAGGAGATTTAGTACCATAATCGCAAGCCTCAGAGCCTGTGGAAAGGCATCAGCCGTCAAGTGACGCTGTTCTACTATAGCTTTAACGACTCTAGCCGTCTTTTATGATTGAGTTGTAGCGTCTACTTGCAGGAACATCATGCCCAAGGCAAGTACTGCCGGGGCATGAACCCTTATTCTGAGCAGTACACATAGCGTACTTATGACTGGGTAGAGCTCCAGCCTGGTTGCAGCTTTGCCTGGGGAATGAGGAGATACCATAATGTACCCCCTTGGAACTCCTGCTGAAGTCGCGCCTTCTTGTTGTACCCGGCTCCATACAAGGCCTGGCACGTGCAGTGATGCATCTTGAGGTTTTTGCAAAATGGGAGCAACCCTTCAAATCCAAAGGAGTACATCGACCCCGTGGCACGGGTTCCATGAAGGAGTCTAGTTTTGACATATGCGCACGCCAGACAGCACTTTCCCTGGGTCTTTTGAGCACGCGGGAAGTATTGGCCCGGGCCTGTTGCCTCTCTACACATCCAGCATGCGAGGAAACAGGCTTCCCAAAGTTCTTTGTTCAAGAATCTTTCATGAGAGACATCACCTGAAGTCTCCTGCAGCCGCTGGGGGGGAATGTTCTGTTCGGGGTTGTGGAGTGAGTGGCTTCTTGGCTCCGCTCTCGTTGAAGCCCGCTCAACGTCAGCAAACATGAAGAACATATTCCACGGACGTGTTCTAGGGCAGCAACCTTTCACCAGTTTCTTCCCTGGGCTCAGTCTGCCTGGATACGCCGTCATGCACGCAGGGTGCCTTGATCTTCCAAGACACCCTGAACAGAAGGAGAAGATCAGAGTCTGTGTTGGCAGCTGCAGTATCGAAACAGTCGAGCGTGCACGGCTGACTTCCAAAAGGGGCCTCTCATCCTGAGACACCGCCCATATCCTGCCAACCCAACTCGCTGAACCCCCAAGCCCTCCCAAGCCTCCTAGACCCTGAACCCCATACCAAGAACTCCAAGCCCGCTTCGCGCCAATCCAGAAAAAAACCCAGGCCCTCCCTTCCAAGTCCACCAAAATCTGAAGCCCCAAAGCCCCAACACCTCCTAACCTTCTGTTGCCCAACATGCTTTAAACTTAGAGTAAGAGAATAGAATCCCTGTATAATCCCTATATGATATTCCCCCATATTCCCTACTCACCTCCAGTAAGCAAAATTCTTTAAACCAACTATCCGATGAGCCTCGTAGCTGGTCTCCAGGATGTGTCGCTGCATCGGGTCCATACCCTGCGCCTCCATGTTGGACCTTGGGATTGGGGGCTTATGGTTTAGAATAGTTTGCCAGGGTCCCTATATGGTTATTTAGGGATTTTGCGGGGTTTAGGGGTTTAAGGTTTGGGTAGTAATTTGGTTGCCAGTAACATAGGGTTATAGAGGGTCTTTATATGTTGAGGGCTTGCGGTTTAGAATAGTTTGCTTTCAATATAGGGTTATATGGGGTCCCTATATGGTTATTTAGGGATTTTGCGGGGTTTAGTGTTTTAGATTTGGGTGATAAATTGTTAGCTGAAAATAGGGGAATATAGGGTCTCTATATGGTTGTGTAGTGGGTATTTAGGACGGGGCTACATTTTCGGCAAATGGAACATAAAATGCGAACTGGGAGTTTATGGGGGTGTGTAGGGCTTAGAGCTTTCGCAGGGAAGGACAGGATGGAAACGAACATGGAAGCTAATGCAGCGTCTAGGGTTTAGTGGATGAAGGAATGATATTTTGAGGACTTACATAGGGGCCATAGGGGTCATGTGAAGATTATTAGAGGGGATCCACTCCCCCACGCTCCCTTGAGCACCAGTAAGATAAGGGCTCTAGGGATCCATTCCTCCATTTCTAGAGTAACAACCAGCAAGTTTTGGGCTGAGGGAGTTTCAGGGTTGAAGGATTTTGGCTTGGGGGTTGAGGGCATATGAGGTGGGTGTAAGGGAGTTGAAAGGTCTGGGGCTTTCAGGCGAAGGGTTGAAGGCTTTTGAAGGGTGCTTGGCTTTGGATTTGCGGGGTTTTTGGGGTTAGTGTTGAGGCACATGCCGTAGAGTTGAGGTGTAGGGTAGCCCTACTGTTGCAAGGATGGAAAGTGTTAAGCTACAGGGCAGAAAATGCAGCTGCGAGGGAGGGGGAGAACTCTACCAAATGCATCTTGTCATCTTTCTTTCTTTTTAGGGCCTCTTAAGGGCTCAGGCATAGGCCGGACCTGAGTAGGGAATTCTTGCATAAACTCATGACACAGGATCTGGATGGCTTAGCCAGGCACCATAAGGGATTCAAAAATGGAGCCCCCAACAGATGAGCCCAGTACGACATTGGGGAAACTAGGGGATTATTTGAGGGCTCCATTCTTGGATCCAAAGCCCTAAACCTTAAGCGCCATGTCAGCAGGCGATTCCATATTTTCGATCATTTTGGAGGCCTGGGTAGCAGCAGAGTGCTGCGGCGGCAAAAATGAAAAGATAACAACAGGCTAAACTTCTTATAGCCCGAAAGTGCGCAACAATCGCAAGAGTAGAATCTCTAGGAATAGTCCTCCACAAATTTCAAGTCGAGTCCTCCCACACAAATGAAACAGCGAATGTATTGATAACCCATACCTCCAAACCATTCTCGCAATATGTTCTTCCTGATAGGCTCTCCAAATGACTGAACTGTTCAGTGCAAGGTGGGTATATTAGAAAACACCAGTGTCATCTGAACCAATAACTATAGGGGGAAGTATGGTATGACATGGGCATAACTTGACTCTTTTATTGCCAGGGTTCTATGGACCCATCAACTGGGCTGCTGTTAAGGAACTTAGCTTAAGTTACCATATTGGGGAAACCGTATTAATTACTATATATAATATACCCATTATGGTAATTTAGCCTAAGTCCCTTAACAGCAACCCAGTAAAACCCTAAACCCTAAACCCTAAGCCCTAAACCCCTAAACAAAGGTAAACACCTAAAACCCCTAAACTCAGGGCTTGCGCCTATGCCTCTTGAATCCTTTAGCCAGGCCGACATGCCTGAACCTGCCTCAGCCCAGCCACGGGTACGGTAGCACCCACGATAGGCCTGGTACCGGACCCCGGTCTCCATGGGACCCGTACTGGTCCCCTTATAAGGTGATTTCCCTAAACCCCAGCCCCTTTCTCCAGAACCTGAAATGGGCTTTCCAGTTCCTCTGCAGGCCCGAGAGCCCTCCCAGCAGCCTATTCTAGGGGTGTTCGAAAGGTCTCGGGAATTTTCAAGGTTTCCAGGCGCCTCAGCACTCCCAAAGCCAGCTCCAGGGCCTCCAGGAGACCAGAGTCAGACTTCAGGACAAACCCAGTCTTGCCAAGGTTTTCCCACAAGCTTTTTGGAAACCAGAAGCTTGGCTACACGAATGTGTGTTGTTGTTGACTAAGATGGACCTAACTGAGTTTCGGTCCTAAACCCTAATAGGAAAAGGTTTGGGTGCTTTGGCCGCCTGGGACGGCGTGGGGTGGGTGAATGTGTTAGATGGCCCTCCACAGTCAGGCCGAAGCAGCATGTCGCATGGCACGACACGCTCGAAGCGACTCTGTGGCATGACTGTCTCTGTCTCAGCGCTATATCACGGGAAACACTAAGCCCCTATACCCAGAACTCTGAACCCCTAAACCCTAA